TTTTGATAAAATGTATACCTAAAAAGTAAGTTATTATCAAAATAACACCAGTGACGTTTTTTCGAATTCTTTAAATACTCTATTTCGGTTTATAAAAAGCCACATATTTCAAATTTGAATTTATTCCAGCCCTATAAATTTATTGTAAAATAATGATTTCCCGCAACATCTGTTTTGTTTAACAATAAATGTCATTAATCTTTAAAAATTAGGGGTTTTTTTTACAAAAAAAAGAATTTATCAAACAATCGTTTTACTCAGTCTGGAACCCATCACACATGTACATGTAGGCAATTGTGTAAAAATTATATTTAAAGGCGTGGAGATACGATTGACCGGATGAAATGCATATGGTTTAAACATTTATTAAAGCTTACCGCCGAAAAAGTTTCCAAAACTATATGCCTGTCATATAATACTGAAATCCATGGATCTTGAACTGTTAAAGCTGTTTTGAGACAAAAGCCAGCTTCAATGTAAGTTTCAATATGAGCAAAATTGCTCGGCGCAGACAAGACAGGTTGTCGACTGTGAGAACACACACATGTTCCATTTGAAGAAATGCTATTAGACCCGCATATGGTAACCACCAAAACAAGAATACCAAAGATAATCTGTTGGCAAATATCACACAATCATACAATGTAAATAGATAAGCTTAGATTTTCATGATATTTTTTTTTATCATTATGCGGGTTTTTATGGTTATCAGGAGTGCATCTTGGGTGGCATAGACATGACATGAATTGCAATTCATAATAAAAGTCATCAATCACGAGACCGACAGTTCTAAGGTATTCTGACTTGTGCGTAACATGAAAAGACTAATGAAGGCAGTAATTTTGGAAAATCGTTCTGTGCATTCGTAACCAAACATATCTTTACTTTGTTTCTTTTTTAAGTCATTGCATGGAGATCCATCGTTGTTGTTTAGGTAAAAGTTTGAAAGATTCCAAATTTATTCTCTTGCGTTTTTCCGATGGATTTAAAAGTGGGGACTCGGTGGCGACCATAGATTCTACTACACTATAACAGTTTTTAGAGAATGGAGTTAGTGAGTTTGTTGAAGTAAACTAAGTTTTGACAGCCGCGTTTTTTTCACTAGATGTTTTTCTTTTCTTTTGACAGCTTCATTATATTGAGTATCTTTCATTTTATTTTATCATGACCAATGTATTGCCTTTTCATAAGAATTATAACTAGTGTCGGAAACGAACTTCAAAACTCTGACATGAGAGAAAGCATTCTCGTTCGGCATTTGATTCGAATTCCTTCAGAAATGTCTAACTTGTCAGTTCCAAAATCGATATGTAGAAAGCAAAATGAAAGAAAATATCTCATTTTTTAACTAATAGTTCACATAAAACACGGAGAAATCATTTAAGTTACCTAAACACTGACGATATACTCCTCCCCAAATAGGTATTTTAATCGGGTTTGTTGGAGTCGCACATGGAAGGAGTTCCTTCCAAGTTACGAGACCTCGAAATACACATGCATATTAATTTTATGTATCTTCATTAATGGATAAAGTCAAAACATTGCGTCACATCTCCAACCTTCTCACCATTCTTATCATTCTGATAAGCTACCATTTCTAAAGCTAGGATGGTAAGAAAGGCTTGGCAAGCATACTTTTTTTCTTTTGATGCCTTCAATTGACACCCACCCATGGGTCAATGAAAGTGATTACTTGTTGCCATCTTTGAGACAGGACGACATTAGCGGGTTAGATGTTACCATAAGGATTTTAATTCTCAGTGGTTTTTTTTTTCATTTCTTTTTAATCTCAGTGTGTCTTTTTGAAATGTCAGTGTGTCATTTTTTACACTCAGTGTGCATGTGTTTTTCGGTTTATTTAATATCTCAGTGTGTAATTTGTATTTCTTGGTGCGTTTTAAGTTTTTTAATCTCAGTGTGTTGATTATGTTTTATATGTATGTGAATCATCTTTTCCAAAGTAATCAAATATACTATTTCTAAATGTTTCTACCTAGCTCATGAAAAAAATTAACTTCGACTGTTTTAATTCATTTAATGAATTTACTTTGGAATTTTATCTTTCTATGCATAAAATTCCTTTGGTTTCAGTATGACAGCGAGAGTTGCAGAATGATTGTAAACTTGAACATTTCATAGCAGAATCTTTTGAATGATTGACTAGTTGCAGTATTTAAATTTAGTAAACATGTGACATAAGGGTATCAAATATGGGGTTCAGAACGTTTTTTCAGTCGCCATGCAAAATAAAGTCATCAGTTGTTTACAAACAATGTTGTAATTACAACCAAAGTTTATGTTGATTAACTGATGTCAATAAAAGCTGGTCAGACAATGACGATATTGCTGTAACTGTTTTTATATTTTTTTGTTGATTTTTTGGTTAATTCAATTTTTTGCTGTTTTTGTGAGTCTTTGAATAAACCAACTTACCATTTCTATCCAATTGCTTTTGGTTTTTATTTTTGAAATCGGCACTGCAGATAACCGATTTATTTTATCTTTTAGCCAGAAGTCGTACATTGAAAAGTCGGTGTTTACATGTATTATATCTCTTATTAATATATATACATATGTTGTCTTGAGTGCATTCATGATTTAAAAGAATTGACCAATGAAGAAGAACTGTGCTTTTCGTGAAATAAATATGTCAATCAAAGTCTTTTTTTCAGCGGAAAATGAACACATATGATTTTTAGTAGAATTTGTAGTGAGATTTACATTGAGGTTTGCAGATCCGAGAGAAAGATACATGTGTTCATGACCTATTTAGGACGTGTAGTTTTAAAGGAGTTACATGTCGTCATAAGGACACATTTTTAAAACCAATTGTGAATGTATTCTTCCATTCCCACATCTTCGCTAGCCAAGGGTTACGATCCAGTCCCCTCCTCTGTGGAGAGGAGGGGACTGGATAGTAACCCTTGGCTAGCGAAGATACCATTCCCATCGACAGGAACAAGATCGGTTCATTGATTTGTTGTTGATTGCGTAAGGTCCAGGGATAAATATTTGAAGCATGCTCAATTCACGGAGAAAGAACTTTGTTGGGGAAATGACTGACTATCCAGTTGCATATATTTTTGAAATATTAATTCTGACACGTTAAAAAAAACAGGTATCCAACCAGAGACATATAATACTGTATTATATGTCTCTGATCCAACCAAAATGCCACTTTTTCCATTAAAAACACTTGGAGGGGTCGTTATGAAAGGGTAAAAACGAAGGCATGGTCTCCCATCAACAACATTTTGGATATATGCGACCTATTTATCTGTATTTAGGTTTGGTATTTCTAAAAAATTGAAAAAAATTAATAAAGAAATTCATCAATATCGCCTCTTCTTTATGTCTTTTTGTAGGTCCACTCGGTTATTTATTTGCCCAAATGCAAGTTAGGGGAATAATGCTTTAATTCAGGGTTAGGTTAAAAAGTTTGACATGTTGAAGGGTAGGGTAGGGTTTGAGTAACTTTGAAGTCCCTGTTTCTTCTACCTCTCTGAGAATTTATGTTTTGATAATTTGTTGAGTATGCATTTTATTTAAATGTATATGGACATTTTATGATCATCGATATCATATTTTGTTTTACTCTTTCATTATTTTCTAGTCAAAGTATGCGGGTTCATAGTGCAAAGGCAACTTCTGAGATAGAAGTTGGAGCCGTGGTCCAAAGCTCCTCCCATTCTTTATTTTCCCACGACAAGCGATCAATGGCGGGAACTACTACTAGGGGGTGTTTAACGACATTAAAAATTGTTGATACCGCAAACGACGACGACGCCGCCGAAAAAGCAACACTTTTGCCTTCCACGACTTTCGTCGATGGAAGGACAAAAAACTGATTGTTACAGTTCTCTGAAATTTGTATTAAAGATTCGCTTTTATTGGTTGTTTCAAGTAGGTAGTTCTATTTAAATCAAGTGTGTTCCTCCTCTCAACTTTTATTAATACTTAATACTATTTTCATATAGTGATTTCCCAGGAAGAATGTTCTGCTGAAGAGGTGATGTCATGCAATGATTAATTCAATGTTTGCCAACTAATTTGATCGCATCTATTCCATTGATCTTGAGGTAAAGGATACTACAGATACAAATTTTTATACTTTCATTCCTAGCAAATTGAATGAGGATCAGTTCATTACTTAGCTTAACAACAAAAGAGATGATTGCAATTTTCTTATTGTATTTTTTTCATTTTTATGAGGAAGCATTTAAGTAGCACATTGAGCATGTATCTTGCAATTGAAAAATTTTTCAAGAGCTTGGGTTTGCTTTCAGGACTTCCTTAATATATTGTTACTACTTACAATTTTCTTCAACCTACTATGAGCAAATGTTGATAATTTGTAAAAATGAAGGATTTTACCCAAATGTAACTAAAATTTGATACTTTTCTCTACATTGAACTTGTTTTATTTTATTGATGCTAATGCTACAGTGTCATTGTTAATATTACATGCCAGTCTGCTCTTTTGGGAGAAAATTGCAGTGCCAAGAAAAAGTGGATTACAAAAATTTAAATTCATGCTCATCTTTTTATTTTTTTGGCAAATGACAGAAGGGAGTAACCAAATCCTGTTGTTATGGTAACAGGTTGAATTGATCTGTATTGCCGACACAGAATTAAGATTAATCCCTCCACATGTTTTTTTGCCTGTTCTATACTCAGGAACCCCCATCAGTGGCTCTCTTCAGTTATATCTTTCTTTTGTTATATGACTAAAGGCAATTTGGTGTTGCTGGCAGATCTTAAATAGTCACAGTTAATTTATTCATAAAAATTCCACACTCTAGTCAATATAGAGCTTAATATATAATATAGGCATCTGTCTATTGTTGAAGACCATATGTTGACCATCAGACTTTACAGATTTCAATTTTTTAGTGATGCCTAAACGATGTAGACCCTCAATCTCCTCTTAGTGGTATTTATATCAAATATCTTGATTTTTTTGCCTCTGATAATTTTTTGTACAGAAAGAAATAAGACAATTTAATAATGTTCACTTAACCACTTTATTTGGTGTCCAATCTTAATATGCCAAGCACTTTATTTAATGGACCATACTGTTGTATAAAATATATCTTATCAATTTATATGTATTTATGATACAATATGATCATTGGTTTTTGTAATTCAATTCAAAATATTGTAAATGCAATCAGGAAACATTCATAAACCATCTGTAAATAACACTTCTCTTTTAAATACTATTAAGAGTCTTCACTATTCTTTTCGTCCTAAAAGATCATTCATAATTTTCTTTTTTATCACAAAGTCAGCAGTAAGGAGCTCAGCCTAACTTTTCCTTCATTAAAGATCATGTTTTAATTCACATGTTATAAATATCCATAAATACATGATTAAAATTCTAAGAGTAAAAAATATCACAGATTAATGTAGTCTTATACGACTTATAGCAAATAATTATTTACACAAATTGTCAACAAGATAACGAAATAACAGAATAAAATTCATAGTCAGTCACTATTTTTTGTCTTTTTTACTTTTTTGTGTTTTTTCTCGTGCATTCGATAAGTCATATTTATGTGCATCTTTTTTAGCTGCTGATTCACGTTTTCTGACTGTCTTCATTACTCGTGATTGTAACTCTGCTCGTGTAAAAGGTCGTGCTTCATCTTCACTTGCATCACTGCCCTCACTGTCATATTCATCACTGAAAAATAGAATAAAAATGATTAAAGATGGCTGAACAGACAATGTAATACTATGCAACAATAGAAATGCAAGTTACTTATAACAGAAATTCTGAGTGGCAATACAACAAAGTTTTTAATGAATAACTATTAAACAATTTATAAAGATAAGTTAAACTAACACTAAGGTATCACTCTTTAGCAAATACAATATAACAAAGAGTTCCGTATTTGAAATCATTGAAATATTCAAGGTTAAATGATAAACAATAATGCAAGTATAAAAAGAATGTGTCTGAAGACATGAATGCCCCCGCTCAAGCTTTGCAACCAAAATGGGACAGATAGACAGACAGAAAGACAGAAGTACTGAAAGTCAAGGGTAACACTTAATGCCCCTGTCACCTACGGCGAGGGCATAAAAACAAACTACATAAGTCTCGCCTATTGAACTTCTTTGAGGCGAGACAAAAGCTATTCTAGAAATTGTCATATGCAGAAGAAACACAAGATGTCTTAGTTTTTAAGGGTTTGTATTGTTATTTCATTGAGATATACCTAACATTCTATTCAGTTAAGAGATAATTATTTATAAGTCATGTCTGCAGTCAACTGTTACAGATTTGTAAGTAATATTGTTATTTACTTACCCGACTGATGGAGGAAGAATGGGTAACTGTTGTTGTGGGGCTGCTGGTCCTTCACCTAATAAACCTGGACCAGTCTTCTCAAATCGGTTTTCAGTATCCTAAAAAAGTATTAAATCAATTAATTATTCTCCTTAATCATGTTAAAAGAATATACAAAGATATCTAAGTCAAAATAAATTATGATATATTAAATAGGTTAAATCAAATGAACAGCCTCTATAAATATAGTACTACTGGTTTACTAAATTTTTGTATCTATATCATTAGAATTTGTTGATCAACAGTGTAACAATGCAATAAAATTATTCAAAATCTATTTCAAATCTTTTGGCCTGGAACATGGAGTAGACCAATAAGACAAGCTACTAAAAATGGTCTCCCTGCTAAATAAAGAGTACATAAAAACTCAACATTTATATTAGTATGATAATTATTATTCCATACCTTTGATCCTATGTAAGACTGTATTGCTAATAATTCATTTGTTCTTTGTTCAATGATTCCTAAGTATTGTATCATATTGCTATCGGTAACCCCTGATGCTGCTCCTAACATGTCATCGATTGCAGATCTATCACAGTTTATTTTATTAAATAGGGAGTCAATACCTGAAATAAACAAAAAAAGATTAAACCAGTTCTTGGTAATTATAGCTGTCAGATTTCACTGTGTAATTTTTCAAAATGCAATATGGACACTGGTCACTGAAAAAAATAACATCTGCCAAGTAGCCAGTGCTTCAGTATTGGCAATTTATCTAAACAGATACACATCTAGGTTGATATAAATTTTCATAAACATGTTTAACCCCGCCGCATTTTTGCGCCTGTCCCAAGTCAGGAGCCTCTAGCCTTTGTTATTGTATTATTTTTAATTTTAGTTTCTTGTGTACAATTTGGAGTTTAGTATGGCATTCATTATCACTGAACTAGTATATATATTTGTTTAGGGGCCAGCTGAAGGACGCCTCCGGGTGCGGGAATTTCTCGCTGCATTGAAGACCTGTTGGTGGCCTTCTGCTGTTGTCTGTTCTGTGGTCGGGTTGTTGTCTCTTTGACACATTCCCCATTTCCATTCTCAATTTTATCAGTATACAAATAGTTTAATTGCACTTTAAGCTAAGGTTACAGCTCTCTCATGAAAAGCTGACCATGGATGTTTTGGGCTGTTCTGTTAATGCCCTTTTATTGATGCACATTTTTTTTTAACATATTGGCATCCAAAACATTTAGTCTGAAGCATATCTGTTCAATTTAAGGTATTGTATCAATTGATGTTTTCCCTCCCTGTTACATTTGACTATATTTTGTTGCTAAAGATCTTCCTATCTTCTTGCTATTATACTTTTCAAATATATTTTATTCTCTATCACAATTGTTTCTTTTCCATTAACAATTTAGATATTTTAAAGATACATCTGCAGAATGCAAGTCTATCAATGTTTATAAAAAGGGGGAATAACTCATGTGTTGACTAACCTGCTCGTAACTGATCAAGTATTTTAGAAATTTCTTTATTCTTTTGTTCATACTCATCAGCTTCTTTAGAGGAGCTTGCTTGTTGTTCCTCAAGCTCTTTCAAGATTTTCTTTCTCTTGTCTTCTAACTCAATACCTGTTAGTTTGAATTTTTCAATTTCATTTTCAATCTGAAAATAAATACAAGAAATTAATAATATTCTCACACTTGTCCTCTCAAAATTACTATCCATTTTTTTCGTAATAATCTCTGTTTAAGAATAAAATGTTTTTCACTTTCCCAATTGTTTTTGTTGTGGACAGGGTAAAGATATGACCTTAACATGTTTTCCATTCTTTCGATGTGTTTGAGCTTTTGATTTTGCTATTTGATAAGGGACTTTCCATTTTAAATTTTCCTTGGAGCTCAGTATTTTTGTTATTTTACTTTTTTAAACTATCAATAACCTTATGAAATATATTTTTTTTCCAGAAGCATAATTGCTTGTTAACCAATTTAAAAGTAGTGTTTAGCCATTGTTCAAATATCCACTCTTTAATGTAACTCTGAAGTTATTACCAAGAATTCTTTAGATTAACATGATTAATATGAAAAAGTCAATTAGAAACTAAATCAACCTTGAACTTACATCTTTTATTTCGTCATTTAATTTCTCAATCTCATTATTCTGTTCATTCACAAAGTTGAACAATGCAAAGTTGCGATCTTCAACTTCAATAAAACGATTAACCAACAGGTCAAGGTCATCCTCTCCAGTCATTTCACGAATTCTCTCAAATGCCATTTCATATGTTTCAACAGAATCTTCTTGACTTTCTTTCTTTCTCTCTGCCTCCTGAGCCTCTGAAAAAGGAAAAAAAACAAAGTTAAATATTTACTCAATGTAAATATGTACATCGTTTGTTTTAATTCTGACAAAAGTCAAAGTTCACAAAATATGTCACTTATATTGCACTTTTTCTGTACCCCAATACCACAGAAATTAATGAAAAAGAATTTGTCAAGCAATCATTGGCACTGTTAACCAACTTATTTTTGTGAATACTTTATTTCATGTTTAGTCCGTTAAATCCTACTTTGCACCATATTATTTTTGCAATTTCATTGCTAATGATTTCTTTTATATCCAAGTTTGACATTTTTGTGACAATTAAAATTTGCTTACTTTTCTACTGGCAAAAGTCATGAAAATAAGTTGATTATAGTATTTTGTTACACAAGTGAAATTATAGGGAATGTAAATACATCAAAGAATTTTCCTCTTACACGTTACATGGTGTATAATTAATAAGAATGTGTTCATAGTACATGGATGCACCACTTGCACTATCATTTTCTATGTTCAGTGGACCATGAAATTTGGGTCAAAACTCTAATTTGGCATAAAAATTAGAAAGATCACATCATAGGGAACATGTGTACTAAGTTTCAAGTTGATTAGACTTCAACTTCATCAAAACCTACCTTGACCAAAAACTTAAACCTGAAGCGGGACAGACAGACTAATGGACGAATGGACGCACAAACCGGAAAACATAATGCCCCTAGGTGGGGCATAAAAATCACATAGAACAATTCTTCTGCAACTCATTCCCTTAGATAAGCCTATATTTTCTGTAGTTGATTGATATAAATATGCTCTTGATACATGTTGTAACAAATGAATGGTTTTGTTGGTTTGCGAGAACATCTGTTAATTGAGTCCTTATAACAGTATGTTCTGGCAAATGTAGACTGAAGCAAATTGTTCATACTTTTATCGTTGTCTTCAAAAATAATTCTACCCTATATATTCAAAGTTTTAAAGCAAAACATAAACATAATTTACTCTTCATATACATTAACCTAAAAATAGCATTCTACCAACTAATATCTAAAGGACAATTATTATTACATTTTATGTTATTTTTTTCACCTACCCTTTTTCTGTCTCCATGCAACTAGTTGTGGATCCTCCTGTCTCTCTTGACCTTTGATCCCCATGAATTCACGTAGGGCACGATCATGATCAATAACACGTAACAATTCTTTCATTTCAGCTTGATGTTGTTGCAAGTCTTTGTCAGCCTTCTCTTTAAGTAAAATAATCTTGGCTTGAGCTTCATCTCTGTAAAATAAAAATGTTGATTTGTATTAACCGAAAAACAAGAAATGAGTGTGCAAAAATAAATTTTCACCAGTCAATATATGTTGTTAACTTCTATGTCATTTGGTCTCTTGCGTTGTCTCATTGGCAATCATACCACATCTTCTTATTTTTACAAATAGCCTCCTCAGGGATGTTAAAACAAATATTTGGTAAGATATACATTTATGCATAACAGCATAATTAGGTCTTTCCACTTTTCTGTGGAAAGACCTATTGGTTTTCTTCTGATTATTATTTTTTTCTTCTTCCGCCAGTTTTTTCTGACGGTGCTTTTTTGTTTCGCAAGATGTCGCTTAGATTTTTTGTGTATGATATCGAACAGTTATTGCGATTTTGAAACTGACCCTGTTTAGCCAAATACTTTTTATTGTAAGAGTTATCTCCCCAAACACTGTTTTTCTTGTGTACACATCTCCTTCGCAACCGTAAAGGATTATGACAAATTTATGTCTCCAATTTGTTCGTTATATCCTCAGGATCTTAAGAATAATTTTGACCGAAGCGGTCCAGAAACTCCATATGAGAGTTATTTCCCCTTCTGTATTTAAATTAAGTAAAATGTAATCGTAATTGATAAACCATAAGTGATAGGGACCTAGGGTCTTTTGATTTGAGGTCCTTGGTCCAAAAAAAAGAAAATAGGGTCAAGGTCAAAGGTCAAGCTCATTTTTAAATTTGGATTTTGGCTTATTTTCACCCCTTTTCAAACACGATATAAGATATCGACAACATAGTTTAACTTAATTGTTAGTTGCGACATGTCGTAACACATACATATCGGTATAAAGGGTACGCTTACATCAAATTAGAGTTTTCTCCCCTCTTTTATTTAAAAATATGCATATGGTGATATAACTCATGAACCAAATATAATTAAGTCCTAGGGTCTTTTGATTTTAGGTCCTTGGTTGATGACCTTGAAATTGAGCTCAAGGTCATAGGTTAAATTGACATTCTAGATTTTGACCTTTGCTTTTACCTCATATGTATACATGATAAATCCATGGGACTTTTTGCATTAGCTTTCAAGCCATTTAACCTTAGAAAAGCCAACCGGAAGTGACCTTGTGTAAACCGGAAGTAGCTTTTTTTTGTACTTAATTAATGTAAAAGTTTATAGAACCAGATATTTTTGGTATCAGTGTCAATTAAACGTTTGAATAATACCTGAAGTAACATTTTTCAAACCGGAAGTAACAAATTATCTCCCTTATTTAAAAAATATTGTATAGAAACCATATATTTTTATACGACCGCAAAAAATTTTTGCGGTCGTATATTGGTATGACGTTGGCGTCGTCGTCGTCTGGCGTCGTCGTCCGAAGACACATTGGTTTTCGCACTCTAACTTTAGTTTAAGTGAATGGATCTCTTTGAAATTTTACCATAAGGTTCAATACCACAAAAGGAAGGTGGGGATTGATTTTGGGGGTTATGGTACCAACAGTTAAGGAATTAGGGGCCAAAAAGGGGCCAAAAATAAGCATTTTCTAGTTTCCAGACAATAACTGTGGATCGGTGTATGGATCTCTCTGAAATTATACTACAAGTTTCCATACCACAAAGGGATGGTTAGGATATGCTTTGGGGGGTTATGGCTCAAACCGTTTAGGAATTAGGGGCAAAAAAGGGGGAAAAACAAGGTTGTCCTGGTTAATGGACAAATACTTTAGTACAAAATATAATTTAAAGCAGTGTAAGGGAGATAAATCAAATACATCATTGAAATTATCTCCCTTACACTGCTTTTAAATTGTGTATAAAGTAATGGTTAATAAACAATTAAGATAATTTAAAACAGTGTAAGGGAGGTAATCCAAATACAACGTTTTGGTTACTTCCCTTACACTGCTTTTAAATTATGTTTAAAGAAATGCATATTTATAAAAGAAGACCAGTAAAAATATCTGCAAATGTTGCATCTTTTTTTTTTACAAAAAAAACCATATGAAAGATTTGACACTATATTTTAAATTCTATTATAAAATAGATTAAGTTAGCACTATGGTAAATTTAAATGTGTAATTATGGTTGCAAACTCCATTGGAAATTTGAATTGAGATTATGACCATATCTTGAGAGAAAGAATTTTTTGGGGGAAAAAAGGGGGGGGGGGGGGTAAAAAGAAATTGTGGGGGGTCAATTTTTTCTCATTTCAGATTTCAGAAATTAAAAAGAATTATTCTTCAAATATTTTTTTTTTTCAAATTTCAAATATTGAAAAATTTCAAGAAGTAATCTTTAATTGCACAGTATGGTGCATTAGATTTGTAAAATCTTTGACCACATTTATTTATTTGTTCAAAGGGTCCAAAATTAAACTTTGTTTGATTTCAACAAAAACTGAATAAATGGGGATTCTTTGATATGCTGAATCTAACCATGTATTTTGATTTTGGACATTGGACCATAATAGGTAAATTAAAAAAATTCAAGTTCTTAGACCACATTCTTTCTGTGTCAGAAACCTATGCTGTGTCAAATATTTAATCACAATCCAAATTCAGAGCTGTATCAAGCTTGAATGTTGTGTCCATACTTGCCCCAACTGTTCAGGGTTCGACCTCTGCGGTCGTATCAAGCTTTTCCCAGCGAATCATGTTATTGGAATCAGCGTACAATAAGCTATCATTTGAAGACGGAAATGACATTTTAAAACGAATTTTACTATTTTCATATTAAAATACATTTTTTTTTGTGGAAAGACCTTCAATTGTTCTCTGAACAATTGGTTTTTAATTGTATTTGTGATTATTATATTATCAAACAGATTTTTTTAAGATAAAATAAAAGAAGTAAATTCTTCTTTTGACTATATATTATAGGATTAAACACATTTTTTCTAGAGGTTATTGATGTGTAAACCGGGGCGATTAACTCACAAACTGAATAAAAGTCCGAAGGACTTTTATGTTAAGTTTGTGAGTAAGAGCCCCGGTTTACACATCAATAACCTCTAGAAAAAATGTGTTTAATCCTTATAATTCTTCAGTCAAACATTCGCGATTTTTAGTTAAGATTTTTTGTTTGATGGCTTCTACCATCAAATGCACATGTCGTAACTAAGGAGTTAGCCGCCATATTGAATTTCTAAAATCCGTAAATGTTCGATAAATGCAACAGAATCTAAAATGAAATAGCACCTACCTCAAAAACTGCATTTTAATGAGATATTTTCCGAATTTGAAGCGTACAAGTAACGAAATAATCTTTCGCTTGAAAGTTTTCATTTGTATGACGTCGTGTTTTGCCATGACGTAAATGCGCTAAATCATTCATGAAATTTCGCGGAATTTTTCATGAATTTTAATTTTATGCATTTTCAAAGCTTTAATGCATTTTTTTTTTTGGTTACATATGCATTAAAATAGAAAAAAACTGTTATGTTTTGTTTTTCAATCTCAATTTGCTGAAAATCCCGAAATCCCTGCATATGCATGTGTATCGCGCATAAATAGATGGTACGAAAGTAGTTTCGGAAACATGGTTTATCGAAGTGTAAACCAAGGTAAAAAATTCTAATTGACCAATCCGTTTCAAGTATTTATAGATATGCAAATCATATAAGAATTATACATCAATAACCTCTAGAAAAAATGTGTTTAATCCTTATAATTCTTCAGTCAAACATTCGCGATTTTTAGTTAAGATTTTTTGTTTGATGGCTACTACCATCAAATGCACATGTCGTAACTAAGGAGTTAGTCGCCATATTGAATTTCTAATATCCGTAAATGTTCGATAAATGCAACAGAATCTAAAATGAAATAGCACCTACCTCAAAAACTGTATTTTAATGAGATATTATCCGAATTTGAAGCGTACAAGTAACGAAATAATCTTTCGCTTGAATGTTTTCATTTGTATGACGTCGTGTTTTGTCATGACGTAAATGCGCTAAATCATTCATGAAATTTCGCGGAATTTTTCATGAATTTTAATTTTATGCATTTTCAGAGCTTTAATGCAATATTTTTTTTTGTTACATATGCATTAAAATAGAAAAAAACTGTTATGTTTTTGTTTTTCAATCTCAATTTGCTGAAAATCCCGGACTCCCTGCATATGCATGTGTATCGCGCATGAATAGATGGTACGAAAGTAGTTTCGGAAACATGGTTTATCGAAGTGTAAACCAAGGTAAAAAATTCTAATTAACCAATCCGTTTCAAGTATTTATAGATATGCAAATCATATAAGAATTATATATATATATTCTTTTTTTTATCTTTGTTTGCTTTCAGGCCATAAGATTATTCTTAATATTTCTCAGTCTCAATTTTCGCAACTCACTGCCAAGGGATAAGAAGCCAGTAAAATAATTTTATCATGTAGCATAGCTATACCTTGCATCATATGCTTGAGTTGAGCTTTCAATTAATTCTCCTTTCTTTTTCTGAAGTTGTTGGAGTTCTTTCTCTAATTTCTTATACAGGTTGTCAAATCGGTTTCTCTCCACACGAAGACTTTCAATTTCATCTCTTTGTTTTGCATTTTCAGACAACTGCTTACAAAATGCTTGTTTGGACTATTGAAAAAGAGGAAAAAAAATATGAATTATAAAATCTAAATTAGAATTATGTACATGTGTAAGAAAAATTCCAAATCGATTAAACAACAAGGGTCAAATATCTGAATGAAATTTATAAAATTCTTGATAAGGTCTATATAAAACCTGAAGAGACATAGACAGCCATGCCAATCAGGTTCATTACAATGGGAATGGCACCTTAAATAGCTTTGTGAGTACACAACATTGGACTCCCTTCTATAAATTAAATATCAAATCAGAAATTAAATATGACAAATGAAGGTTACTGTATAAATGGCTGTGACAAAAACCATTTTCTGGCTTTGCAAACTCAGTTATTTTTAAAGTAAAATTAGGACTGATGACAGGGCATATATTCAGTGTAATAAGTTATTGCCACCCACCTGATCAAGTCTATTTTCTAACGTCCTGACAGTTTTCTGCATCTGTACAGTGTGCTGAGAGCTCATGTGAACACCTCCCATATTTTTATGTTGATCTTTTATCTTTTTCTCCCATTTTCTGATTTCAGCATCTAACTCAATGTGCATTTTTTTTTCTTCATCAATGTCAGTTTCATTCTCATCTAAAAATGTTATTGTACACATATAAAATCTACTTTTTTTCTCACAATATAATCTAATTGCCAATGTGACAAAAGTACATGTATATGAGTTGACTATTTCTATTTTGAAGTTATTTTTACTGACCTTTAACCTGTGAAAAAAGTGTATAATATGACATTGTTTTATGTTTAATTGTAGGTATTTCTTCTAACCTATAAACTCTGCCAATGTGACAAAAGTATATAAACTGCATTGTATTACTGTAGTTATTTTAACACACCTTTCACATCTGCCAATATGACAAAAGAGGGACGAAAGATACCAGAGGGACAGTCAAACTCATAGATCGAAAACAAACTGACAATGCCATGGCCAAAAATAAAAAGACAAACAGACAAATAATAGTACAGATGACACAACATAGAAAACTAAAGACTAAGACAACAGTATATGAAATGACATTGCTTTTTTTAGTTAATACATGTATTTCTACTAACCTTTAACCTCAGCCAATGTGACCAGAGTATCTGTATTAACATCATCTTTATCCTGGTTACTCCTACTTTCAGCCAGACGTAACTCCTTCAATAATTCCTGTTTTTCTGATTCTAACTGACCAATTGAGGCTCTATAATAAAATATGATACAATTAACCATCCATGAATTTAAACTTAACAATAAAGAATTTAATTTTTTAAAGAAGATCTGTTGACTATTAAAACAGGGTTAGCTAAAAAAGATTGTTTATATTCTAACGAGAATGTATAATACATTGTAGGCAGCTTTCTAAATCCCTTTAACTGGAAAATCAAAAAGTGTTATTACGGAGGAATTATTAAATAACATTCTTCAACATTAATTTTGCCAAATATCGATATTTACTTTTTTCAAATAATTTTGCTTTTCATTATTGTTTTATTCTTAAAACCAAATTAAATGGGCTTTTAAATATAACTTCTACTGCTTGTTACTTACTTTTGTTTTCTTATAAGATTTTGTGATTCTTCAGTGTAAGCTGCACGATCTCCCTCCATAATACGATACTGTCTCTGGAGTTTGACCAGTTCCTGCTCTGCCATTCCTTCCAGGTCGGCATCGCTGGTATCTGATCGAGCAGATCTTGGACGTGGCATTTTTATTGGCTATCAAAACTGAAAAAAGATCTATCAGATAATAATCACAATAGATAAATCATATTATATACATGAAAATGATGAAACATGTATACAATGTATTTATATATATTATAAAGATTACACTTTTACCTTCTCATTTGATAAGTACAAACAAAATTGAATAAAAAAAATAATAATTTAAAAGAATCAGAGTCAACATTGCACAAATTAAATCAAACATTGCTTGTAACCTTCCAAAGGTGACTTTGTTGAACTGCATGGTTAAACCCCACTACATTTTATGCCTGTATCAAGTCAAGTATGACATCCTAGAGGGATGTTAATATGTACATGTATGTAATACATACTATACTTTTATTATGAGTAGCTTTGAGTACAGTTAAGATGGCAAATGAAGAAATGCCTGAAAACTCTACATTCATGACATGATCGATGTCTTTGAAAATTAATGATATGCTTAAATAATAATGAAAGATTCAATCTTGCTTCATCTTGTTACTATTCTCAGTGCCACTCAAACCTCTATGCGTAAAATCACAAGTACTGGTACATACATGTACTTAGTTTATGAATGTATTTTATATAACTGTAAACAAGTTATTAACTCACTAGAGGACCAACTTCAAATTCAGAAGGACCTAAAACACATAAATGGACAGCAAACTTGAGAATGCATTTTAATGCTAGCAAGTGTTACATTTTGTACATGTACATGTTTGCAATGTCAGTTCATCATTACAAGTACCCCCTGACATACAGTTACATGTACAATGTATACTCTGAATAAAAATAATCCAGGAAAACGTGTATTTAAGTGCAATCATTATAGATGATTTTAAATGGTCTTCTCAAATAAAATCCTGTGGACTCATTTATTTTGTGGGTACAAATTCTTGTTGATTTTGGAAAACATCATTTTCATGGATATTTGATTTCGTAGTTTTGCCAAAGTCTGCATACACTCCTATAGAAAATGTGTAATATAGTGAACATTTAAATTTGGGGCTCTCCTGTACCCATGAAATTAACGAAAATTGATATCCAACTACATGTAATAATGATAAATCCACAGTATGTAACAAAACACTCATTCAGATTTATTAGAAGGAACCTCAAACACTGCATATATATATATATATCATTTATATCACTCTTGATAGTTCAGTACTGGATTACTCATGCTGCCATGCTCAGTATGGGACCTGTAAAAGTGTATCTACTGTAAAAAATATTGACTGCATAGAGAGCTTACAACAAAAGGCAGTTAGGGTCATTTGAAAAGATTATAGACCAATTTCCAGTTCTTTTTTATGAATGAGTTATGTCAGTTGACTTGAGGATAGTCAGCGTAAATGACATAATTAAACAGTCAGCTCTTACTGAGACATATAATGTAATAAGCCTTGTGACATCAGAAATATGTGGTAAAATGCAGAAATTAGAAAGTAGTGCCACTTCCATGATGAAGGCCTTGTTGGAAACCTCTGAAAAGGAAAGAGGCGAAAATGAAGGCCTGATTGGAAACCTCTGAAATGAAGGATGCGAAAACAGTGACTTGTATTACTGTACATTTTGAACAACCTGTTAACAATGCCCGCATTGAATGTAACAGCAGACCATCACAAATTTCACATCTCAATTAAGCAGCTGAAAACTTAAATCAACAAATTAAGGCATTTACAAACATTGTTTTTCATTGCAATACAATGATTTGATCTATTCTACCCGTGCCGTCTTATTTCTGTGAGATGCAGGTGCCCGTCCATCTCAGGCATCTGACAGAAACGCTCACGTTTTGTTTTTACCGACATGTAATTTTAAACTATGTCTTCTTCTAACGCAATCGTTCAGTCCTTGCGATTTCCTAATTAGTTTATTTTGTTCACCTACCTGTATTGTGCTGAACAATCAGTAAACAATGTGTGAAAATATTTTGATGGTGGAAACAGGCTAACGTATCCAAGAGAAACAAACCAAACAGAGGCTATATCAAGGGACATAATTCAGAGATTGAAATAGATTGCAACGCAATCAAAGGCATAATCAAAAGTCAAAGATTTTATTGACAAACACAGATTTTTTTTTTATTATTATCATAAATATGTACATTCAAGACAACAAGTAAAAAATAATAGAAGAAAACTGAATTTTTGCTCCAAACCTACTAGTAAATGTACCTTCTTCTTCTTCTCTAAGTAGATTCCTCCGATATCGGAGCACCCGTGTCACCGTGACGGTATAAAAGTCCTTACTTTTACTGGTATAATTAATTAAAAAGTAAAATAATAAAAGGGCTTAGTTTAAACATATTTTATTTGCTTAAATATGCAAAAGGGATGAGACACAAGTTAATCAAACTTATGAAGTCTTCTCCCATGAACAATTTATAACAATAGAATTTTTTACAAAGCATGCATGCAAACAATACATTGTATATATTGGATATGTAAAAGATGATGTGTGATGATGTGAATGGTTGTACACAATATACATGTATATGCACTTTAGTGTGCTGTATTACACAATTAGAAACCTCTTTGACTCTTTAATAAACTCATATACATTCTTTACAATTCTTTCATTTTCATCATTAGTTAATGACGAATCACCGGAGGTTAAGATGTTCAAATTTAATATAGAGTTCTCTGGTAACCAGTTCAGATTATTAGATAGTTTGATTCTTATATTCGTATAATTAGGACATTCAAAAAAGAAGTGAAATGAATCTTCACGCTTAGCACCACAGCTACAAGACGGATCTGAAATTATATTAACTCTGTTAAGATCATAATTCAAAAACGAGGCTGAGCATCTAAGTTGAGTCAAAATGATGTTGAGTTTACGATTGCCAAATTTATAATGTTTGGGTACTTGGGCTTTTGAATTTAGTTTAAGATTTTTTAATTCAGTTTTGAATTTACCTAAAGAGTCAATGTTGCGGGTCAGCACATTAAGGTTATTCCACAGTCGTATAGTTGAAGGTATGAAGGATTCTTGGGTCAATGAAAGTCTACAAAAAGGGTATATTATATCATTCCCATTACGTAAGGGATAAACAGCTGTACTTTGGATTGTTGGTGGAATTAAATTGCAAAGATAGGCTGGTGCATTATTATGTTGAATATTATAAAATAATTGTAACTTCCTCCTTTCTCTTCGTTCAGCTAGAGTTTCCCAACCAATCTCATCATAAATAATTCTACTACTAGTAAAAATAGGAAGACCTGTTACAATTCTGGCTGCCTCAAGCTGCAGCTGCTCTAATTTGTTACAATAACCCACACCCATATTATCCCAAACTTCACAGGCGTATTCGAGTAACGGTCTTATAAAAGTCAAGTATAGCTTTTCTAAGTTATTTCTACTTAATCTGTACTTTAGTTTTCTAAGTACATTCAAATGTTTCGATACATTTTTTATGATACTTTCCACATGAGTGTTCCATTTAGCATCTCTACTAAATGTAACACCCAAGTGTTTATGAAAATCTGTAACTTTAATATTCTTACCATTGAATATGAAATTCATTTCCGGAGTTTCAATGTATGAAAACAACATAATTTCTGTTTTTTCTGGGTTAAAGGACATCAGCCATTTCTTAGACCAATCGCTCAGCTCACTCAGGTCGTGACTGATCACTGATTTTATTTGTGACGTGTCACGACTAGAGTAGCTGAGAGATGTGTCATCTGCAAATAATCTACATAAAGATATCAAATTTTCAGCAATATCATTAATATAAATAATGAATAAGAGCGGTCCCAAAACAGAACCCTGTGGGACACCAGCTGAAATACTGCAAAGCTCTGACGACGATTGTTTAATAACAACTCGCTGTTGTCTGTTGTTCAGGTAACTTTTAAACCAATTCAGTAATTTCCCGTCCACACCGTATGACTTCATTTTATATAGCAATCCTTGATGCCAAACTTTATCAAAAGCTTTAGAAAAGTCACAGAAAACGAAACAGCTAATTTCTTTATTTTCTAGTGAATTTATAATACAGTTGTAAATTTCTAAAAGCTGGTGAACTGTTGAACATTTTGGAAGAAAACCAGACTGGTATTCATATATTAACTTATTTCTATGTAGGTGATTGAAGACATGTTTATAAACAACTCGCTCCATTATTTTCCCTACACAACTTATAAGCGATATAGGCCTATAGTTAGATGGTAGAGAACTATCTCCCTTTTTAAAAAAAGCAATTACATTTGCAGTCTTCCAGCTGGTGGGATATTTACATTGTTGTAGGGATTTATTAAATATTATTTTTAAATGAATTGCTATTTTTTCAGGACACATTTTCAGCATTTTATGACTTATGACATCTGGACCAGATGCCTTATTAGGATCTAAAATTTTAATTATATCAACTATTTCATATTTTTCAATTACTAAATCATTTAAAATAATATTGGTTCTTGGTTCAACTTCAGGGATGGGAACACCTTCCTCCTCTAGGGAAGAAATTAGACTAAAATATTTATTCAACAGATTACATTTCTCGTCGTCTCCGTACACTACATCTTCCATACTTTCATCGTGAATAATATTATTAAGTGGTGGTAAATCACCAGAACCCTTATTGGATTTAATAAGCATTTTCATTATCTTCCAATAAGTTTTAGGGTTAGCCACGTTATTTAAGATGATATTATCCAAGCTTCTTTCAAATTTTTCTTTTGCAGCTTTTTTCAAATTATTTACTTTATTCCTCTGCTTTTTGTATTTATTAATGTCAGAATCTTTTTTAGTTTTTAAGGCGTTTTTACGAAATCGATCTCTTCTGCGGATTTCTTTCCTTAACTCGTTGTCAAACCATGGTCTGTCATTGTTTCGTATATAAACATGTCGAGTTGGGATGCTCTGCCTTGCGATGTCAAGGATTTTTTGAGTAAATGTATTGCACATCTCGTCGACATCCTCAACATCAGAAAAAAGTGCATCCCAACTGACAGAATCAAGTCCGGAAGAAAATTTTTTTAAATCTGCTTTATCGTACAACCAAATTTCTCTTTTGAATGATTTGGATGCAAATCTCGGACATTCTAAAAATATTAAAGAAGCATCGTGATCACTTATTTCCGACGGTAATTTAAGTACGTCGGCAACAGAATATTTAATTGTGTCGCTGATTATTATCGGGTCTAGTAATGTGCTACTGTGTCCAGTCACCCTTGTCGGTTTATTTATTACATTTTCTAAATTAAAAAGATTCATTGTATCATATAATTTATTATTATGGATTGAAAATAAATCAGAGTTCAAATCTCCTGTTATCACAATATTCTCGCTTAGTTGGTAACTCAATCCCAGCGAATAATTAAGTCTTGTCCAATCGTCATTGTCCGTCCACTCAGGCCTATAAGTACAACAAAGAAGAAATGACTGACCTTTACCTTTAATCTCTACCCATATTGTCTCATCAATGTGGTTTTCGAGTTCACCTTTACGTACGACGGATATATCATCCTTTACATAGATGACAATGCCTCCGCCGGCACTGTTACGATCCTTTCGGATTATATTCTTTGAAAATGAGGAAAGCTGCAAATCGTCAATGTTAACACTTGGATCCAAATGAGTTTCAGTTATAGTTAATATATCAAATTCATCAGTAAAGTTTTGGAGAAAATTAAGCTTATTTCGTAGACTACGTATGTTTATGTTACATATGGATAGTGAGGTTTCATTTATGCTAGTAGAGTCAGTTATAATATCTATATTCGGACCTGGATTAGTCTCAATATTTCCTATAATTAGGATGACATTTAAAACAAATAGCAGAAAAACAATATCTATATTCGGATTTAAGCTCTGGAGAAGTGAGAGAGAGACGACGAGTAACGAGCATCTGAAATTGGTAAGTAATATTTCTTTTAAAGAGCTATCACTAGTTCGTGAGTTAAAGCTGCCGAGTCTAAAAGTGCATCTACATAAGTTAAATAACCCGATAGCTGCCCTATATTGTTCTATACAATTACCCATTGGGTTTTATCATAGAAATCATAATACATATAATAAGGCAGCAAAACGAAATATATAAATCACAACAACCACACACATCATCACATATAACTGAGGAAAAATTCAAAAAAGACAAATAAAAGAAAAATATACAAAACAAAAGAAACAAGGTTTGGAATATGAGAGAAAGCATTTGTATTTGAAATGGGAAATGATTTACTACTTGAAGACTTCGAACTTTTTTTAAAAAGCATTATACTGATATGTGTAAAATCATATGGTTATGGAAGTTTACAAACTTCTTACCTAATTGCATTTAAGGATTATTGATTGATTGAGAAGAATTTATTAGTTCTAAATAAAATATTAAATTAAAGAAGTTAAATAAGTAAAAAAAGGAAACACCTATAAACTCAACATTTATGCATAGAGCCACGCAAGATGAAAACAAATACTACAAGTGACATCAATACAACAAAATACATCATATACATTACATGGTGCAGTACAGACAAAAAATAATAATAACAGCGATATAGCTACATTCGTATATGTAATTGCGAATTCAAATTTCAAGAAGTCTTTAATATTTTAGGACTTTCTAGTCAAACGCACCCGAATTTAAATAGATAACTTCATTCTCAGTGTCAATTAACGTCAAAAGAGGCCGTAAGGGTTTACAGTATAAAATAACTGCTTCAATTTTTTAAAGTAAAGCAGGTTTTTTCATCATTAATACGTTTTGATAATAATATCTTCTTTTATATTTCAATATCATTCAAAAGTGTTCAATATAGTTGTTCATACTTAGGTATTTGTTATCATAAATTTGAAACAAAAACCCAAGTATACGTCAGTGAACTGCATGTTTTTGCATGGTTATAACATCTTGTTTACATAAATCTTTAAAGGTGGAGGCATCTGAAGTTTTCAACAAAAAGAAGTCATATTACATTTATCATCACAGCTGTAAACTCTATCGGGTTTACAAAAATGTTTTATTAAATTTAGATTA